CTTTCCTGAAACTTAGAACGAGTAATTCAAGCAGAAAATGGTTATACCTCTTTTGGATCAGCAAGCATTCCGACCATGGCTGCATCAATGGCATCTTGGTTCTCTACTCTAGAGGCCCTTGCCGCAAATAAGAGGACTTGATCTTTCTCCACACCCTTTGCAAAAACCTCGATCAAGTTTTTGTCAACACTCAACTTGTTGAGGGTAAGTGTCCCGGTTTTGTCACTGCAGAGGACATCCATTCCGGCCATCTCCTCAATGGCGGTCATACGCTTGGTAATGGCACCTTGCTGAGACAACCTGTGGGACCCAATAGCCATGGTGACAGACAACACAGTAGGCATGGCGATGGGGATACCACCGATCAAGAGGACCAAAAGGTTATCGATTCCATCTCTGTATTTCCTGTGCTGGATCGGGTACATGACAATGATCTCGATCACCATTCCCACAGCAATAGAACAGATACAGAAATTCCCAATGGCTGTAAGGACCATCTGGAAGTGCCCGACATTGTTAGTGCTGTCCACAAGGTGGGCAGCTTTACCGAAGAAGGTGTGAACACCAGTGGCAATAACAACGGCCTCGATTTCTCCCTGTTTGCAGGTCGAACCTGAGAAAACTTCATCACCCGGGTGTTTGGTGACAGGAAGTGATTCTCCAGTTAGAGCAGACTGGTCCACCTTCAAGGGATCACCCTCAAGAAGACGGGCATCGGCCGGGATAATGTCTCCCAGCTTGATGCTGACGATATCTCCCGGAACAAGAATAGCAGCTTCCTGTTCACTCCATTTTCCATCCCTAAGCACCTGAAGAGAGAGAGAGATCAACAAGGAAAAAACATGTAAAAAGGAAGCTTTGCCACAACTTTTTACAAGAATTTCATGTCATTCTCCATTATATATTACCTTGGTTTTAGGAGCAAGACCGGCCATGAGAGCAGCAGCGGCATTACCAGCATTGTTTTCCTCAATAAAACTGATGGTTGAGTTGATAACCAGCAAACAGATGATACCGACAAAGTCTTGCCAGTCCGGCGGCTTACCATCACCATTGGCCAAAGCAATGGCCATGATGGCAGCAGCTTCCATGACCCATGAAAGGGGATTCCACATGAAACCAAGGAACTTCAGGATTTTGCTTTCCTGCCAATTTCATTGTGCAAATTTGATTTCGTAAGTAACATGATAGAAAGAAAACCGCTGTGTATATATACATCTCTAAGACACTATGGATAACATGGGTTTAGACCTTTTTCTCTTCCAGCTTGTTGGGGCCAAAGATTTGAAGCCTTTCTTCTCCTTCCCGCGATGACAAACCTTCCCTGGAACATTTTAGCTGTTGGAAGACTTCCTCGATCGGGATTTTTTCCTGAGTCAAAATCAAATTTCAATCAGAAAACCCTAGCTATTGTGATTCACGCATGCCCTCACAGACGGTGTCTTAGATCATTCAAAAGAAAAAGATCATCTTTTTTTCTGGGCAAAGGAGAAGAAACCTCTTGACGGTTCAAGTATCGATCTTTCGGAAAACCCAATTCTATCCGATAGATCGAATCGGTTCAGGCAAAACTTGAAACTTTTGGAGTTAGGATTAGGCAACAAACGAGTCGGGTGCGAGTCAACCCGTGACTCGGCGAGTCGGAAAAAGAAAGCCAAACCTATGCAGAGAGGAGAGTTGACTCGGGCCGTGGATGGTGACAAGGAAAGATTTTTCTTTTCTAAAGTTGCGGTGGGGAGGTGGGGACGACCATCACCCACAACCCCACATGATAGGTACGTGTGTGCACGCGCCGGGGAATACTCTCCATGGCAAGGTCCCGGCGTGGTAATACGAATCCCCGACGAGGGTATTTTGGTCATAAAAATGAAAAAAAATATTAATCGCAGGCGAAGAGTTGAGTTTTATTGTATTTTTTTTTTTTTTTTTTTTGCAAAGACGAAAAAAAATATTTTTTTGTACAGAAAAGACAAAGGTACCACGGAAAGGTACATAAAAATCCTAACTTCTAACAAAACAATTCACATACGAAATGAAATATCATTTCTTTTCTCATGATTCACGAGTTATGTTTCTCAAGTTCAGATCTTCTTTTAGGATATTATCTTGAGACTTGAGAGACTGCATATTAATAACAACAATAATAATGAGAGAATATGAGGAAAAAAAACCCTACTCCCTCTCCCTATGTTTCTTTATAGTTGTCCTTATAGATTATATATTTTGTTATTTAATATATATATCATTTTAAGTAATTTTTAAAATAATTTCCAGATTTACCCTAATTCAAATCATCCAATTTCAATAGAATATTTAGTAAAAATATTAAAAAGAGTATATGTAACTTTTTCTAAATTAAAAAAAAAAACCGTGACAAAATTAAAACGTGGAGGAGTACAACGGAAAGGACTTTGTGCTTCAATTAATTATTTTTGTAAAGACTTTAATGAGAAGTAGCTAGCTCCAACAGTAAAGACTTTTTTTTTTTTATGTTCACATGCGTTTAGATCTACTGTCCGAAGAACAGACAGAGACATACTAAATCTAGGAGAACTGTTTAAGACTTCGGAGAAGGAAAAAAATAGAGATTCAAAAATACCCAGAATCGAAAAGAGCCCATTTTCCTTCTGTTTAGAGCCGAATCATGTCGGGATACATAAAGTTCAAGACTTTTTGTTTTGACTAATCCCCCAGATTTTCTGACCTAACCAATAAAACGTGAAGATTTTCCGGGAAAAAAAAAACAGGAATGAATAACTTGGGGTTTAAGCATGGGATCCAAGAGGGAGAAATCAGCTGAAAGTATCTAAAAGTAATTGGAACGCAGATTGAAAACACCGATCAACATGCAGAGATGTGAACAGATCTATCTCATTCAATCAAATCATCAAACACCTACTGGGCATGATAAACATGACCGAGAAACAGCGAGAGACGACGAGAAAAAAAAAGATTTATTTTACCAAATCAACGGTCTCGTTCTTGATATCCTCGAGACTCGACATCTCGCCCTCCTTCAGCGAACCACAGCCGGCGAAAGCACACCCAAAACGACAGGTCTCTCCGCCGTTTCAGCACTCGATCATACCCCAGAGAGAGAGAGAGAGAAGAGGGTGAAGGGAGTCTCTGTTGCAATGGTGAGAACACTTCTCACTTTATACGGCCAAAAACGACGGACTTCTTCGCCGTTTTAGTCTCGTGGGCCCCACGGTGCCTTTTTCTTTTCTTTTTTGCTTTTTCTTTATTTTCTAATTTCTATCTTTTATTTTGTGCTCTCGGTTCTTTGGGAGGAATTTATTTCTATTAGAGATTAATTATGAGGTTTAATCCTAATTATCTTTTGTTATTAATCATAAAAACAAAAAGAAAAAGGAAAAAAATATTGCAGTTATAGTGATGCTTTGGTGGAATCCAAAAGGCGAAACTAGCCATTAGCAAAATTAATTATAATATCTCCAAGTAATTAAAATTTAGCAATTTCTTTCTACTCATGCTTCATTTATATTATATTGGGAAAGGATAATAAACCAGTAGGCGGCAAAAATTTGTGATCAGATTAAATAATTTTTTTTATGAAATTCCAATTTTCTTGTTTATTAATATCATTTATATATGATTACATGTTATTTCCTTTTTTTCAATAAATTTTGACTTGAATTATGTTTATCAATGGATTATTCTTTAACGGAACGTTATTGAAAATATTACAGATTCAGAGTATTTAATTACAAAATATGTCTATTACTAATTCATGTCAGTACATTGCATTACGTTAGCGGTATTATTTTATATTTTATTTATTGAATAACACAATACAGACACACACATACACACACACATGTATATACAAGTGTCAATGTATTTGTGCATATATACACACACACATACATACATACATGTATGATTATTTATGGCCCCATAACTTATGGTGAGGTAAAATGGCTCTTCCAATGGAACAATGACATATGACGTGGATATTATTTTATGACAAATTTCAAAAATCAAAATATAATTTCATTCATTTTTTTAATTATTTTCTGCGAAGATAAATAAAGAATTGACTTTTGATCATGATGGGTCCCTCAATAATAGAACTCTTTTTTTTTTCTCGTCGGTTCACCTCTCCTGCGGTTTTTTGGATTTATTTAACTTCGTATTTATAAAGTAATTACCCATTATGATTATGTCATAGTTCGATTTGGGTGACATTAATTTTATTGTATGGTTTCCAAGCTGCAACATCATATTTTATATATAATGGCAAGGTCATAACTATAAGTATACTTATATTGCTCGGAATCTTACATAAAATTAAGAAACTGAGGCAGGCTTAAATGCACCCACAAAACAACAACAAAAAAACTAATTTGAATAAATTAAAATATATGAGATATAATGGAGTTTAGTCTGATTATTACATAATTATGAAACCATAGTTGTATTTAATTGTTAATATAAGATAACTTAAAATGGATTTATTTCTATATCAAATTAAGAATATGTTTTTAATATTATATATAAGATTTATACTTATGAAAATGTAATATATAACTAACTAGAAAAGAAGTTTAGACATTTAAAATTTGATAATTTTTCGTATAAAATATAATTTTGATCAATAATATAAACTGGTAAAAGAAGTTTTTGTATATTTATTTTGATACTTCATTTTTAAATTTTCGTTTGAGTAAAAATTGTATATCATATTTTATTTTTAGTAATATAAAATCATTTCAATAGTTTTACAAAAATGATATATTAAAATATAAAATATAGAAAATTTGGATACTAAAATAAAGTTTCTAATGTAAAGTATTGGATTGCAAAAATACATCAAATTTGATTATTTGAAGTTTTTATATTAGTAATATTACTAGGTTGTACAGATTACGTAATTTGTGGAAAAATCTGTAATAAAATTATTTAATTTATAGTGATTTTTATTATATATGCAGAATTGAAATGTTAGGTTTTATTATTTATACACCAAAATTTAACTAGATAAAAATAATAATTCTAAAATTTTTAAAAGTATTTTGAACATGAATTTATTCAATACTAAAATTATAAATATTAATTGGATGGTTAAGTTGAGATCTGTGGTAATTCTACCTTACATACAAAAATATAAAAAAATTATATCAGTAGTGATTTCTCTCTCTCGAAACTTTCCTTTTAATGAGTTTTTGAGCTTTTTATTTTTACTTTGTATGTTCTCTTCTTATATTTTTCCTCTTAAATTTGTAACTTTTATTAAATAAAAATATTAAATTACCAAATAAATGAAGTAACTCAGGGATCGAATTCCAATTGCTCACAGATGCCAAAGTCATTGTGAACATCCTAATTAATTAAAAAAATATATAATAAAGTATACATACGATATTAATACGATGCATTCTGATTTTAGAATCAGATATATAAATTACTATAATAGTGAATCGTTTAAACTGTTATTTACATATTTTTAAAAATATTTTATGAAGTAAAAAAATCAAATAAATACAAAAAATTTAATATTGTTTTGTTTTATAGTGTGGTGTCCTCGTCAAAAGGAAAACAAACAGCAAACGTAAATTATTTTTATTGGTTAGAAAAACCAAATACGACTTGATAAAAATATTTATCTAATAAGATTTCGTACGTCAAGATGAGCTAGCGATCACGCTTGCTTAGTTTCGTAGGTACATATATGAAATTCTCTTATATATACACTTTTAAATAATTACAATTAAATATAGAATAAGAAGATTGATTACGTATGGTCATTTTGTCATTAAAACATTATAATATCATTCGGTATTTGACCTTTTTAAGTATTTGCCCCATGAATTTCCATTATAATATCACTATCATGAAGGCCATGTTGTATACAATAATATATACTTTCATTATATTATATGCATACATATATATATATATATATATGTAAGAAAATATGGGGCATAATAGTTGACATATCAATTGTCACTAAAAGTGCTCTGTCAAAAATCGGAAATTTCATTTGACATTTCTACAAGTCGCCATATACTCAATGACATGTAAGAAAACTTTCAATTTGTTAAGTTGAAATCTATTTACTCCCAATAATAAGATACAAAGCTATATGTATATATATATATAAGCAAAAGTGTATACATCTATAACATGGAATAAACAATTGAGTAATGTTTTTACTACGAATATATCATTCTTTGTTTCATTTTAAAAAATAAAATTGTTTGATGATAATTTTATATAAGAAAAGTCATTTTCTGGTAAAATTAAAAGTACCAACTCGCAGTTTAACCGGTAAAACGAAAGTGTAAAATATTTGTTGAATTTAAATCTTAAATTTGGTGAAGGAATATATATTCTAAATTAAATGGGTGACCCTCGACCTTTATATGAGTTTACACTTTAATGTATCACATTTGATTATAAAAAATTACAGTTTAACTGATTATTTCTAAAATATTTTTTTTACTTTGTTTACATCAAAATATATATGTTTGATTTGACCGTTCATCAACTTTCGAAATTTATTATAAAAAAATATTCGAAAGATGGATATGTTTTTTTACAGGAAATATTTTTTTTTTACCATGTACGGTTTCACATAATAAAACCACAAAATCTTAAACCTCTGATAAATATAAAAATATATATATATGTTTTAGAATTGATTATTTGTGAAATGGTATCATTTTGGTTATTAACATAATAGTCGAACTGAGTCGAACCGAATAAAATATAATGATAATCAAACTAAATCTAAAATAAAAATCGAATGGTTATAATTTTTCTAAATTTGAAAAAAAAACCGAATAAAACAAATAATATAAAAATTGACAATTTTTTTAAACAAATGATTTTTTATCAATAAAAAATCAAATTCAAACCAAATCAAATTGAGATAGAATCAAATCGAATCGAACTAAAATTTGAGTCAATTAAATCCCTTATTTTTGTTATATTTTAAATTTTTTTATCACAAAACCTAACTTTATTCATATTGAAGATTCTAAACATAGGTAGGGAATCAATATAAAATAAAATAAATAAAACACCAACCGAAAGGATCATGAAGAATTATTTTTTAATGTAGAAATCAATATAAAACAATGTACACAGAAGATTGAAAGGAATATCGAATAATTAAATGTCTTCTTATATATGTAAAACAAGAGTTTTAGATTTGTGTAATATCCGAATTTATCAAAGGTATTTTATTAATTCAAATTTTAGTTAAAACGTTTATGAGTGCAAGACAACAAATATGACATCAGACTAAAACAGAGATATTTGTATAAAAATAATCGCATTATTCGATTTTGTAGGATTTTAAATGTGATCTAGAATCCATAAATTTTATTTTTTTAATAATATTATATGAGTTAAAATGAAAACGAAGATAAAATCGAAAATGAGATAAGATAATAAAAAATGATGAAAAAACGATATTAAAATTCTTTATTTATATTTTATAAATTAAATTATATTTTATAATTTTTGTTAATCAACGAAAGGTTGTGTAATTCGACATCTAAATAATCTCTCGTAAAATTCAATCGTGATCCCATATTATTCAAATATCAAATATCTAAACTCAGATCGAATTAGGGTACATGGTATATTGAGGATATCTAAACGCCGTTAGCTTATTTAACGAACGTCACCAGGTTGGATGTCGTGCTGTTAATAAATGAGGGGAAGAGCAAGTGGAGACTTCACCTAATCTAACGGGACCGTTACATACTACGAAGAATTTATCCAATAGAACTTCGCCACGTGTACGGTTCACTTTGCTACATAATCCGTGGTACTGCATCACGGATTGGATAAAATCTTAAAAGCCACCGAATCTCTCTTGATATGTGCACCACTAAACCACACACACATATATATATATATATATTGTATATATTAATTATTTTTTATAATTACGTAACATCGGAATTATGATAGAAAATAAAAATCGATGTAACTATTGTAGAGAAAAAAAAATGTATCGAGTGAATATTTTTTTTTAGAAAAGAACATTCTACCTATAAACAATATTGAGAGTAGACTTTGTTTGACTTTTTTTAATTCGCAGGTAAACCAAAGGGGCATGAAAATCCCTTTTAACGTTTATATTTGTACTTTACTCGGCGATTATCTTTGATACACACACACACACACACATATGTATATATAATGATTTACTTGGTGTTTGGTGTAATATTTATTTATTTATTTGCAAAAAAAAAATAAAATCCAAAAATGGGTTGGTGACATGTGCACACACATACGAGTATTTGTTATGAATGTGCATCACCATGCCAATGAAGAGTTTTGTATTTAACTGTATTCATTTTGTGACAAGTATTCATATATTTTAAATTTATAAGTTTAAAAAATCACATGGTAGACGATGATTCATTGAAACTCATTAGTATAATTAAAGTAAGACATTATCATACTATATGTATAAAATTCGACCGTGGCGTTTAATCTGAAAATGACTGGGCATTAGAATATTACATAATTAGGTCATACTTCTAGTTTTTTTTTTTTGGTATAAGGTGAATGGTCATACTTATACTTACTTTAATTTCACTTTAAGAGTTGAATCATTTTATATTCAAACTTAATTAGGTGGCATAGTAAATATTTTCTAATGTAACTTTTTTTTTGTGAAACACGTGATCCAATCCAATCTTTTTTTTCTTCTTCTAGGTCAACCAAATAAAGTTGGAAACAATCGCTTATAGAATTTAATAAAAAGGCATATATGATAATTTAGTAGTTATATATGTGTTTTCTTATATAAAATGTGATGTTGAGATTTGAATATGAATCTCTATATATTTTTAAATATATGGTTCTGATTTTGAATTCTACTAAAGATTTTTAGGGCGTAGTTTCATTTAAAATAGTAATATTACCTATTCTAGATATATTATAGCTGTTAAGGTCGTTTATATATATATATACACACACATCATATAACATGGATGTGATTATAATAAAATAATGACAAAATTTATAGAACAAAACCAAGAACTTGTAAAAATAGAGAAAAATAGTTGCTTAAAATTAAAAAAAAAATCTCCCATATACAAAACCGAGAGAATAATGTGAACGATAATTAAAAGTGATATAACAAGAAATAGATAGTAGTAAAAATACTTTTGGAATAAAACGCAGAATTCTGGATTTCGCTTTATGTAAAAGGAAACAATTATATAAAAAACGGGGGAGTCCCTAATCTAGTGGTTAGTGACAACTCTCCTCTTCAAGAGGTTATGGGTTCGAAATCCAGGTATGTAAACTCCTCTTGAACCGGTTAGCTTTACAAGACTGGTTTACCTGCTCTGCGTAGTTTGCTTGCTACTGCGCAGGACGACAGGTTTTCTCAAGTCCGCGATGCTGTCTTGATGCCGTTCTCGTCCGGTCTATGGACTGAGAGGCGTTGCGGTATCCAATGTCCGACCCAAAGAGTTGTAGGATAGAGATTTCCCATTATAACAAAAAATATATATATAAAAAACAAAATAAATTCAAGAAGTTCTTTTTTTATTTATCTTTTTGTAATAATTCAAGATTTTGTCCAATAAAATTGCCTTTTGACCAAACGTAGAGACGACAAAGCATGTCGACGGTAGAAGAGGTCTTATGTCTGATTTAAGTGTGTGTGGAATATAATATTATACATATATATATATATATAAGTGTATTTGAATATATTTAAATGAAATATAGATGTTTTTTTACATGTTAAAGTTGTTACACTATAGATAAATCTTTGAGGCAAATATATTTCAAAAGATTTAGACATGTGAACATGTGTCATGTGAAATAAATATATATAGCATAGGACCTAACATATGCATAACCACAAGAGCACTAGACAAAGAAATTTGGGACAGCTATGTTTTGGAAGACAGTTTGGCACTCCCACTTGACCTAATTTATTCTTGTAATAATGATAAATTTTATGTATGTATGTATGTATGTATGTATGTATGTATGTATGTATGTATGTATGTATGTATGTATGTATGTATGTATGTATGTATGTATGTATGTATGTATGTATGTATGTATGTATGTATGTATGTATGTATGTATGTATGTATGTATGTATGTATGTATGTATGTATGTATGTATGTATGTATGTATGTATGTATGTATGTATGTATGTATGTATGTATGTATGTATGTATGTATGTATGTATGTATGTATGTATGTATGTATGTATGTATGTATGTATGTATGTATGTATGTATGTATGTATGTATGTATGTATGTATGTATGTATGTATGTATGTATGTATGTATGTATGTATGTATGTATGTATGTATGTATGTATGTATGTATGTATGTATGTATGTATGTATGTATGTATGTATGTATGTATGTATGTATGTATGTATGTATGTATGTATGTATGTATGTATGTATGTATGTATGTATGTATGTATGTATGTATGTATGTATGTATGTATGTATGTATGTATGTATGTATGTATGTATGTATGTATGTATGTATGTATGTATGTATGTATGTATGTATGTATGTATGTATGTATGTATGTATGTATGTATGTATGTATGTATGTATGTATGTATCTTTATTATAAAGAAAAATGATTTAATTTCAAATTTAATTACTTATATTTAATGTTATAAAGGGTGGTGCCATGTGTTCTCTTCTTGAATTGATTAGGTGGCCATGTTTGTTGTATATAATGTACACCCCCACCACTTCCTCCTTTCATATAACGCCAGTTTTAAGCATTTTTTATTAAATTTATTTTATTATTGTTTAAATTTTTTTATAAAATAGAAAAGATTTGGAGATATTTTGAAGAATTCTGTCAGCCATTTTGGATTTAGATGATGATCTAATTAGGATCATAATTAGATTATATATATATATATATATTCTAATAATTAAACAAAAGTTAAATGAAGACGAATCTTACAAAAGTAAAGTGGATTAGTGGCGTAGAGAATCACAAAAAGGAATTTAAAATAAAAAGCCGAAATTTCCCAAAAATATATACATTTTCTATTCCGAATTATTGCATAATACTCGCTAAAAAAACTTGTGGCTAATATATTTATACAGAAAAATATTAGAGAATTGCATGTAATTACATGTGTTATTAGAGAATTTCATTCAAATTAGTCGAAATTTAAATACTGGTATTGGAATGCAGATTATGTATAGTGTGGGGATTTACGTAGAATTTAGAAGAATTAGACAAGACAGTTAAAATACAGTTTTGCAACTTTTCCTTGGAATATATTCTTTTAATAAAAAATAAATTTAAAATATTAAAGCTGGAATAAAGGTTAAACCGTACGACCACGGGATTAATGATTCTGAATTAAATGTTTATGAGATGGATAACACTTACAATTAAGAATCAGTTATATAGCCTTTTATTTAAAGAAATAGATAAAAAACAATTCTTCCATTTTTTCCTTTTGTTTTCGAGATTTAAAAATTCGTAGAATGAATAAAACGTAGTTATTTTTTTCTTCAAATTTTTGATTTGGTTAGATTTAATTACTTTTAATTCGCAATTATATTATATTTATTTATTTAATTTTAAAATTTATATCTATTTAATTATTTTTAATATAGTTATATATTGTTCCATTTTATTCAACTTTTCTTTTTATATATTATGCTCGAATATTTTTAATTTGTTTTAATTATTTATCTACTTTATTAATGAGCCTTCTATCCATCATCCATGTATGTTAGGTGACATTCTAGGACGGTGAAGACCGCTTTAATACATATTTTCGGTTTCATTTTCATTGATATTTTCTTTTTTCCAAATTCATTTATATTTCCAATTGTCATTAACACATATTTGCTACACAACAAAATCTCCCACTTTTCAAAGCTTCAGTTACCAACAACAAATTTGATTTGGCATTAATAAAAAAATAATAATAACATCGGTTTAGATATAATTTAGTATTAAATCAATCTGATAATCTAAAATATAAAATCAATAACTTTCTATTATTATTTGACAATGGAAACAGAAGAATATATGATTTAAACTCTACATTTTTTTATTATAAAAAAAATACATATCAGATAATAAAGACAAGTTTATTATATTGTAAGATATTTAGAAAGATGCTGTTATGGTTTCAAATCAATAGTTTGAAAGAAAAAAAAGATTGATTAGAATATAAATGCTGAACTGTTTATTATTGAGAGATAAGGCTAAAACAGCTAGTGATTGATTTGGAATAACATTGTGAGCGGTGGTTGTGCCAAGACAAAAAAACTTTTTCCTCATTGTAGGTTGGAGCATCAAAGACTCTATCAAAATCCATGGACCCAATCACAAAATATATTTCATAATCATAAGGAATTAATCATAAAATAACAGAAATTAATTTTATTTTAGTGGAATATATCAACATTAACATCGTTTTAGTCCCAAATTTATTTAGAATCGACGGTATGAATTTTTTGTTTTTATTTATTTCGTTTTTGAGTTAATTCTTTTCATTGTTTTTGAATTAGTGGAATATATATGCATATAAAATTATTACTAATTTCTATTAATTTTATAGAAAATAGATTATAATACCAATACTACTACTTTAGACCAACTCATATATATATATAGAGAGAGAGAGAGAGAGAGAGAGTGGAAATCATGGGAAATCTATTAGCACTAAAAAAAGGAGGCTATAAGGGGGCATCTTTGGAACAATGTTTTCAGGTTAGATACTTTGATTGTAACCGCTTACTTTATTTTTTTTTGTGCCCACTCTTCCATTTTTTTTATGAAATGATATGAATGTGGTCTTCCTGCTTTTGTTTACTTGTGTATGTATTTTCCCCTCTAAAATGATGGGAGATTCTCTCAAGGCTTGTGGAAAGAATCATCATCATAACATGCAATGTCCTTTTGCCTCAACTCAACATTCAATGGACCACAGCTTTCTTCCTCCTCCATTTGGAAATTGCAGCATTCCTTTTCTCATCATGAAATTCACCAAACATTGAAAAAGATATATATATTGCACAATATGGCTCAAGATTGATCTTCAAAGCATTAGTTAGTGCCCATACATAAACAAGAGATGATGGCTATAAGTAATCTGAACCCATCATTAAAGGGCTCACAGAAGAATACATTGCAAAACATGAAGGGTTCTGTTTCAGAAGGGGGGAAAAAACTTGCAACTCCTTAGCTCTTGTCTGTTGCTGGAGCTGGAAAACCAAAAGTTGCAAATCTTAAATACATAAGCGAAAAGAACCAAGGAAACCTGAAGGGGTTTGTTTATTCACTGAAAGGTTATACCTTTCACTGCAGTTGGCTCATCCTGTGGCTTCATGGCTGGGAAGAGAAGAACCTCCTGCAACAATTTGACAAGTTTTTTTCCCCAAGTCACTCACATGGATCAAGAATCTAACTGGGTTTCAGACAACTTTGCCTCAAGTTTTAGAAGTGGAGAGAGAGAGAGACCTTGATATTCTGAGAGTCAGTAAGCAACATAGAGAGCCGGTCTACTCCCAATCCCCAACCACCGGTAGGAGGCAGTCCATATTCTAGTGTGGTACAAAACGTCTCATCCAAAGCCATTGCTTCGTCATCTCCAGATTGCCGATCCTGGCATCGGGAGTATTTTTTTTATACAATTAACATTAGGATCAAAGTTTCAAGACCTTACATAAGTACTTGAAAGGGCTTTCCAAATTACCTTGAGCTGGTCAGCAAAACGCTGGCGTTGCACCACAGGGTCATTCAATTCAGTGTAGGCGTTGCAGAGCTGCAGTTTTTAAGTCAAGAAAACAAGTTAGTCGAGAAAGTAGTGAACTAAAGACGAAAACATTAAGAGGTTTGATCACCATACTTCGTGCTTGTTGATGAACAGTTCGAAACGTTCAGTCAAACCAGGCTTCGATCTGTGCCATTTCGCCAAGGGACTCATAATCTCAGGATGGTTAATGATGAAAGTGGGGTTAACACAGGTCTCTTCCAGAAAGTGCCCAACAAGCTGCACAGTGATAATATTTACAGACATAAGCATATGAATGTGGATCATTATCCTCTTTTCATGCATCTTCCTATGTTGCCAGTCAAACAGTTACCTTAACAGATCTATAAATCATAAAGGACCATAAAGCACTCTTCTTTTTGACAAAATCTGCAGATTCTTTCACTAGGTTGGAGATTTTCATAATGTGTGGCAACTCCATGGATGTTTCGATTTACCCGAACTATATTGTCCTAATTAGTTTACAGAAAGAATCTCACTTCAGCATTTCAAAACCTATGACCTCACTTCAAAACTTCTTTACCTCTAACATCCATATTTGCTAATAGAAAAGCAGCAAGAGAGAGAAGATTTTACTTTGTCTAACAACCGAGTTGTTGTTTGAGGAGGTGGGCATTTGACATCAAACTTCAAACATGCATCGACCAAATACTTGTTAGCTTCTTCGCTTGCCAAATCCTTTGGTATATTGAGGTTGGCCAACTTCTCTAACCCTTCTATCATGTCAATTCTCCTGCAGAAACCGAACAAAAATGAAAACAGTAGTTATTCTCAGATACATGTTCCAAGAAAAACTAACTCAAAAGTCAAGGATGATCGATGTAATATGCCAGAAACCTGAAAGGAGGAGTGAAGTCGATTTCAATTGGCTCCTTATCAAGCCCATTTGCATGGTATTTGATTTTATAACCACCTGTTAATTCCTTCACCATCCCTGATACATGTGTGCATCAGGAAGGAAACACTCGGTCAGTATAAAACTCTAAAGATGAAAATTTGAGAATTAGACTCCGACCAGCTTAAGTAGTTCCATACCACTCAGCATTTGTTCAGTCAGCTCCATCAAGTCATTGTAGTCTGCAAAAGCCATATAGAATTCGCAAGTGGTGAACTCTGGATTATGGGTCAGGTCGATACCCTCATTTCGGAATTGCTTTCCTATCTCATAAACACGGTCCAGGCCACCAACAACAAGCTCCTTAAGGTAAAGTTCAGGTGCAATACGCATGTAAAGCCTCATATTCAGTTCATTGTGATGGGTCACAAATGGACGGGCAGCTGCTCCACCGGCAATCATGTTCATCATAGGAGTCTCAACCTGGGAAAGTTTAGGACATTAACTGCAAGCAAAAACACACTGCACAAATGCCACACACACAGGAAAAAAGGAACTTATTCTCTGCAAGAGAAGATGAACAATGAACCTCCAAGAAATCAAGGTTGTCAAGGAATCTTCGGATGTAGGAAATGATCTTAGCTCTGGTCTTAAATATCTGGCGAACCTCCAAGTTCAGCATCAAATCAAGATACCGTTGGCGATATCGAGTTTCCTAACAAAGACAAAGCCACAGTCATATTCCCACCTGAATAGATACACGATGGTGGCAATGAAGCATCTAAATACACTATGGAAATACTAGACCAACAAAAGGTCGAGATTTTTACAGAGAGATCTAAAAATAACGATGACCATTCAATAGTATGAGGTTACAAAGATTTACAGCACTTGGTAAAGTAAGTGATACCTGATCTTTCAGGACATATGTTTCAGGATTTCGCGTGCTTCCTGGAACCCAGATTTCGGATGTCTACAGATAATGTGGAGCAGGTTAGCGTTAGAAAAAAATTATTCCAAGCTTCCATGTTAGAAACTTTGCATTCTCTCTACCTTGGAATTAGCATTATCAACAGCAGGAGCAGCCTTCTGCCTTGGCATCATGTGGAGGCAATGAGACAACGCTATAAAGGATCTTGGGAAGATACTTAATTCTCCCCTCTTAGTTTTTCCTGGAAACACAATATAATATATTCAAATAAAGTATAAAGATTTGCAGGCCGGAGCAAGGAAATGAAATATGAAAAGATCGAGGCTTTGCAAACCTGGAAACCCAGAGACACCAACAATATCCCCACGCTTAACACTTGCATGGAGCCTCGCAAACTCGGCTTCATCCAATTCTGACTTACTGGGGCAGTGAAAGGTGGTATCTTAGTTAAATCAATTTCAATTCCAGAGCAAAAGAAGGAAGGAAAGAGAGCAAATCAAAGGGAATAGGTAAACCGGCTACAAACCTTGCATCAGCCATAACTTGGACCTTGAAACCACCACCATGAAGATCGTAAAAGAAAAGCTTAGAAGAGGAGGAACGTTTGCTCATTATCCGCCCTGTGATAATTTTAGAAAATTAGCAATCCCCATTACTATGTAAGTGCAGATGGCTAAGAAACCTTTAGGAAATAGACTACATTGGATAAGATACCAGCAAGAGATACTTCAGCATCTTCAACATGTTCGCCATTGCTTAGACTACCATACTTCTCGATGTATTCATGAATGGACATGGAGACAAGAAACTTGTGAGGGTATGGATTCTCCCCTTTAACCTTCTCGGCCGCAAGATACTTCAATCTGTTCTCAAAGTATTGCTGAAAGATAAAAGAAGGAGCACAGAAATCGACTCATACCCATTTCGTTGCATCCGGAACTAAGAAATTAAGAAGGGATACATACAGTGGGGTCCATATCCTCGTCATCTGCTGCTGCTGCTGCAGATTTCTTGGTCTGAGAGCTAGCCTTAGCAGCAGCCTAAATGAATGAAATGGAATCATTTAACAAGCACCATATAAAACACTAGCATCGGTATCTAATCTACTCAAGCAAAATAGGAATCTTGAAAATGATTTAAGCCCTTTTCTTGAATCTCAATTGGGAAAATAATCTATCATATGAATACATCAATTAAACATTATCACATTTTTGTTTACCTGTTTGGCTTTTTCCTCTTCCTTGCGCTTCCTCTCTTCCTCCCTCTGTTTGTTCTTCAACTCCCTCTTAAGAGCACTGTAACATCGCGTAAAAAAAGTACATGGATCGGATTCGACATCTCGGAAAAAACCAAGAAACGAAGATCTCAGACAAAAGCATCGCCGGAAAACGTACTTCTTGCTCATGGGTTCAGCTCCGTCAACCGTGGAAGCTGCAGGACTATCCATGGACACGTTCGGGGCAGGTTTCGCGGATTGATCAGCCGAACCCTCCATGGAATTAACCTCCTTTTTTCACTTTTCGGGTGTTCGGTCGGAGATTCTTCAATGGAAATGACGCGAGGGTCGCTGACTCTGTTCGCCGCCGACAAGGAAAACGCTATCGTTCATGGAGAGCCTCTAGGGTTTGGTTTGGGCCTTTTATAGTGACCCAATCTCGACGTTGGGCTTTGGACCAAATACATATACATATATATATATATATACATACATATATATATATATATATATTCATGACTCGAATTTAAATAGATATAATAAAAATTTTCCAGGGCATTGTAATGTAATATAAAATTTTAGGCTTGTTTTGGACCGCACGACACACAAAGTGTTCTGATGGTCATTTAATGATATTCTATGCCAAAACAATTTATAAAATGAGATTGTACCTTTTGCACCAAATCACTCTTGAAAAGAAATTGCAATATTTAATTAGCTGTTTTCCAACTGTTTAATTAGATTTTTATGTGTATACATGATTTTACGAAACTAAAATAATAATCTTATAAATTATGTTGGAACAAAAAACCAAATCTGTGCAAAAATTTAAAAACATAAACATCTCTATATAAATAAACTATTGGAGCTGTCTCAAACATTTTATACACGAAATTTTACAAAATGTATTAAAAATATGAATTTTAAATTTGATAAATAAATAAATCAAATATTAAAATATATAAAATACCTCTATTTTTTAAAAATAAAAAAGAATTTCTACACAAACTTTAATGACGGTTCTGTCCAAATTATTTAAAATTATTTCGCAGATTTTGATCAAAATATTATAATATAAAGCCGAAAAACTATAGAGCCTCTCAATGCTATTTTTTTTAAAAAAAATTGTAGGCCTTTAAAATATGGAACTCTATGTAAAAACACCACCTTGTCTTGTACATCCTTTTAATGATGCCATATTCCTAATGTAATATAGGAAAATAAATAATGCTATTATTGAATTAGGAAAAACATTACATATAACAGCACAATAAAACACACCAAAAAAAAAAAAGATAAGAAATTGCATTTGGCGACTTAGTGTCTGATTCTCTTAGCATGAGACATGTTTTCCAAGTTTCTTGGAGTCCAAGACATAATTCTACAAAAAGTTTTTTTTTTTTTTTTGAAGGAAACCTTGAACTCTACGAAGGCAAGCTCTTGTCTGAAAAAGATTTGTTATTTGTTTGTTCCTTCTTCTGGTCACTTCACAAATGGTATCAGCAAGTACTCTGCATAGAAAAGCTAACAACGCCAAAACAGAGAAAACCTCGTTGGATCAGACAACTGCCAAATGAATATTATCACAAGGATATCAAGCATTATGATCCGAAACCGAATTCTCGAATCGTGATCGTTAGAGATCGGTATCGACCCCTCAGATTGATATTACCGATCCTGTTCGACAGCATTTCACAGGAACAAGAAGAATGTTAATCTCTGTACAGTTAACAGATTTACCTTCCAAATGAACATGTAGCACGACGTTATCGCGGCTTTGCTGCTCAGATCGACGGATTTGGCTCGAGCCCACAAGATCACTGCTAGAATAACGTGACCCAGAACCTGAATCCGCAAAAAACAAAAGTCATTCGAGACCAACGATATCTCACGAGCTCAATCACGTTTAATGGTGCAAACTTCAGCTTCAGTTTCGGCACAATGAGAACTAAACTATGGATGATCGTTAAGGCGGATAAAAGCTCAGATAGAGAAAGAGCGTGATACCGAGATCACTTTGCTCCACAGGAATGGAGATGTGGCTCCGACCAGAATCGCAACAGCGTAAGCCATTTGAAGAAGTGAAACACAGATCCAAAATACCTGGAATATTTTGCCAAGAAATGGTTTAGGATGTAAACCCTAACACAGGGTTGATATAATATAAAGGCGGATGATTATTTTACCCGTTTCTGACCCAAAGTCACGGAGAAAGATCGGATTCCGAAGATCTTATCCCCTTCAATATCGGGTATATCCTGCATGTATATGTATATATACATACATACATTCTCGTCAATATAAGAAGAAGATTCTTGTTCTGGAATATCGGCGGAAATTGATAGGTTTTACCTTGAACAAGGCTATGACAACCGAGAAGAAGCTCATAAACGCAGTTGCGAAAATCAGAGGCCTAGTGAACAATGCAGGTCTTCCAAAAACGTGGCACTGCAAGAAAGTTTCCCGGCCCAATCCGTTAAATCAAATGATGTTTTCCCGGCGTGTACAAGTCAAGAAGTACGTACCTGAATGTGTAGATAAAAGGCGATCTGAACGATGACAGCTCGGACAGCTAGAATACACATAGCGGCAACGAGTGCAAATCTTTTCCATCTCAAAAGTGGCACCTGTTTTATAACATGAAAGCATGAAAAACAGAACTGAAATAGAACCAATGAACCGGTTTTCCAGACAAAAATACCGATATTTCCGTTTTCCTGTTAGGCTTTCGGGAGAATAGTGTAAGAGATGGGGTCGAAGGGAACTACTTACATTGATAGAGTATGCAGTGCCAAGCAAGAAACTCACGGAAAGAGCCAGAAACAATGGCAATGAGCCAACAATCCACCCGAGCCAGAAACTCTGAGAAAAGAGCAAAGTTACCGACTTTCTTTTGTGTGAAAGAAAAAAATGGAACGACCCTTTTAGAGTTTTGCATATGGGCGGGATACCATGACGGAAAAGGAGGCTACAATCGCTATGCCGGTTTTTATGGAATATTCCCCCGATGCCAATGGAAGATATGGCTTGTTAACCTGCGAAAAACACCCGGGAAGGAATCGTTTCTTCTTTCCGACCACAGAGATCTGAAAGATTCATATGGATAGATTTTACCTTATCAATATCCACATCATACAACTGATTTAGACCGACGATGTAAATGTTCATCATGAGGGCTGCAACAACAGCCTGAAATGAAACATAATATAAACAAAAACTCAGAAATGATTACAAAGATCATATATATATATACACACACATATGTGTGAAGACTAAGTGAATCACCTCCAACACTCCGGTGAAAAATAGAGGCGATATATCCGAGAGCTTCTCTACTGCTAAGAAAGATACAGATAAAATACTAAGCACCTGCAAAGGAAACACAAGGAATTCTATCATCTCTTCTTCTGTTTGTCCTGAAATACCAAGAAGAACCCGGAAAAAGCCAGTTGATAGTAACTTAACAGTGCCAATGACGGTATGCGGCCTGGAAAAACGGTAAAACGCATCTAACGAGTTTCTAACGGATTCCCGCAAGTTCTTCGGGTCGTAAGCTTCGGGCTGACCCTCCGTAGCATGTACCAGAAACCTCTTCTTGTTCTTCAGGCACAAGACGGGCGAAAATCTTTTACCGTTACACCTTACGAGATTGTCTCTAAACCTCGGTCTCACGAGAATATCACACGATCTGCACCTCAAAACTCGGATTCCTGCAAGATGAGTATTACTTACATCAATGCTGATAGATCAACAGTCTTTTCGTGAGATTTGCAGACATTGAAGATAACCAGTATCAGAATCCAAGAAACATAACAGAAGAGAGACATTCCTTTGCTTTTACCCAATATGACACATCTGTGTCGGATTCTATGGATTTCTCAAAAAAAGGAAGCAATTACCCAATTCAGTAAGGCGGTAGCGAAATTCAGGAGCTCGAGCTTCAAACGTATAAAGGGCAAAAATATAGAAAATCCAAAAAGATTTCAATTTTATAACAAGGGAATAAAACCCTAAGTAAAATAATAAAACGCACCTGATAAAGGGTGGACCTTGAGATTCTTCTTCGTCAAGCGAAATCCGCCTGCTAAAGCGATGTTGCATGCATGGCCAAAAACAAAAAAAACTCAGATTTATACCCTAAATTAAGTTTCTCTGGGGGGGAAAAAAGCAGCAAACTTTCTAGTGACCCATTTCGATCTATAACACAATTCCATGCAAAGATCAAAACTTTGAAGGAAAAAAATTAAACCCAACAAAAACCCAGAGAGAAATTGGCAGAATTTGGTAGAGGGTAAGCGAAATTATGCAGGAATCAGAGTCTGGGAATCACATAGAATCGATATGGAAGAGAAAATGAAGAGATGGGATGAAGAAATCACCAGCGGAAACAAGGGAAGAACCGGAGAAGAGAGACTCCATGAAAGCTCCTGAACAACGACACCTTTCAGTTCCCAGAACCAATTATCTAATAAATCAAAGCATCATGCCAGAAAGGGGAAAAATACCGGAGAGGACACATGAATCAAAATTATAGGGCCGGACAGTTGAGACAGTGATTGAAGTTAGATTGGAAAAACATTTAAGTTTTACTATAAAGGATTGACGTTTGAGAAATTGTACGAAGTGGTTATTTTCTTCAATTAAATTTAAAAAAAAAACGATGATTTCAAGAACAAGGGTGCAAGACGAGACTCGCCACTTGCGGTAGAGAGAGACCTGAAAGCGGAAATAAAAATATCACGGATGCATAAAAGACAGACTTTTCTCTTAATTTTTTAGACAAACTCATGTCTGTGTGGTCGGGACACAGTTTGTACGCAATTTGCGAAAATACATCCAAGGAAATATATTATTATTTATGTAATATATGAAAAGTATAGTGGCGTTTAGAATATAAATAATAGAAATTTCAAAAAGGTTCTGTGATACTTAATTAGTGTATGTAATTGATAAAATTAAGACATAGAGTTAAATTGAAATATCATATTAATCGATTTAAGTGTGTTTTATTGGTTCAGACATTACAATTATAAATAATTAGTTATTATATAATCAACTTTTGGAGGTGATAAATAATTACTTAAAATCGTAGATTATTTATGCTAATATTACTAAAATTTAAGTATTAATATATTAGGAAAAAAAAATCGTTCCACGTCATCTTACTATAGATAGAGTTTTGGGAAAGCACCAAAATAGAAAGATACTTTGGATTTAGACACATTATTGAAAAGTCTGCATGCCAAAGTCACCTTGTCATGGAGTTAAATTATTGCTTATAATATAATGGCTAATTTACCAAATACATTTATTTTTTAAAAAAATGTTGGATATAGAACACAAGTTCATGGCTTACGAATAAGATGGTATTTCGGTACGGTTCTCCAAAATCAAATCATATCAAACCAAAAAATTCAATACAGTTTTTGAATAAATCGTTTAAAATTTCGGACTAGATTTTTTTAAACAACCGAATTTAAAAAAAAATGAGTTAATAAGAAAATATATTTTTTTCTCAAAAAAATTCGAAAGTGAACCAAACATGAACCAAATCGAATGTTGTATATTAACCGATTGGTATTTAATTTTATAAAACCGAAAGAAATGAACCAACCAATTATGGAATCAAATCCGAACTGAATACCGAACGCTTATAGTATCAAGATCAATAAAAACTCTAAAGGCGAAGAAGAATACCTACTTACTTCTACCTATAAAAAGCTTATAGCTTTCCAAAATATTTCTTTGCTATCAAATCCTTAACATAATCAGTTTGTTTATAAAATTTTATTTTCATATTATCTTAATATATAATTTTTAGCTTACATGCAATGAAAATTCAGAAACCTTAACATATAATTCGAGTGATGACAAACATATATTTTGCAAAATAAAATCGAAGTATATTAGAAATAAAAAAAAATGTGAATACTTCTTGTTGAAATTTTGCCTAAGAAAATAAAGACTTTGACTCATTAGGAAGGTTCCGGTTCAAACTAACCGGTAAACCAGAAATGATTGGATATTGCAAAGGTAACAGTCCGAGACGCAGCGTTTAGTCACTGCCTCTAATTAACTCAGAAACGACGGCGTATTTGGAGAAGGAGGTGGGTGATTCAGCTCGATACATAAATAGAGTTGCAGATCGTCTTCTTCCAAAAGTTCGAAAAGTTCTTCCTCTTTCTGGGTTCTTTATCTTGGATTTCAAAGGATTCGACGACTCTCGGTTTTTGTGAGAGATCGATCGGTGTTGTAAAACTCAGTCACAATAGTTAATTGCCGAAGCTCTCTCGGCCGAGACGTAGGATTCACATTGAATCCGAACTCGTTAACTCGCTGGTGTCATCTTCTATTCTATTTCTCGAATTCGTTCAGTAATCTCAGGTTCTAACTCAAAGTGAGAAGTGGTATCAGAGCCCGGTTGGAAACATGGAGGTTTCTCGCCGGATTGAATCTTGACGCAGTTCAAGAATTCATAAGCTCAACCGAGGGTTTGGTTGGAGACAGGGAGGTCTCTTGCCGAAGAAAGATATCTTGACGCAGACTCAAGAATCTGAATCTCGGGTTTTGTCAGCAATGGCAGCAAGACCTACTGTGGTAAAGCTGGATGTCGAGAAATATGACGGAAAAACAGATTTCACTTTGTGGAAGGATAAGGTGCTAGCGAGTCTCGAGATTTTGAGGCTCCATGAAGTCTTAGATGAGGAATACCTTATCAAAGGATCAACAAGAACAAAAGGTGACAAAGAAGAGGAATCCAAGATAGAGAAAGGGGGAAGAGAGGGCTCAGAGGAATCAAAAGATCAGACAGGTCTCTATGATTCAAGATATGAAAAGAGCAGGAGAGTAAGGAATCTCATCTTTCTCTGTTTGACAGATCAAATCATGAGGAAGGTGAAGAATGAGCAAACATCATCAGGAATGTGGAAGGCACTCGAAAAGGAGTACTTAAACAAGTCTCTCCCGAGCAAAATGTACTTGAAACAAAAGTTATATAGTTTCAGGATGGAAGAAAGCAAAGCTATGGAAGATAATCTGGATAATTTCAGAAAGCTAGTGACTGATCTTGGAAACCTACAGGTGGAAATATCTGAGGAAGATCAGATCATGTATTTGCTCAACTCGTTACCCGAGAGATATGAGCAACTAAGGGATACTCTGAAATATTCTAGAAAGGACGATCTCTCCATTGACGAGGTAACTTCCGCAATCATTACAAAGGAACTCGAGTACAAAGCAAGAGCAAAACCACATTCAGGAGAAGGACTGGTTGCAAAAGTAAAACCAGGTAAGGACTATAAAACTCATAAAGGAAAATCTTCAAAGTCAAAACCAAAGGAGAAGTCAGAGAAATCTGATAAATCAGAGAAATCTGAGACAGGATGTTGGTTCTGTGGCAAAGAAGGTCATTTTAAACGAGATTGTCGAAACAAGAAAAGGTGACTGGAAGAACAGGCAAAGAAAACTGGGGATGCAACTAATGTATCTGGGAAGGACTATGAAACAGAGGTTTTGACAGTATCCGAGCAAAGTCCAGAAGACCAATGGATAATGGATTCGGGATGTACATTTCATATGTCACCCCACAAAAGTTGGTTCCTCAGGCTAGAGGAACTGAATGGAGGAAAAGTACTCATGGGCAACAATGGTTGCTGTGAGGTAAGAGGTATAGGAGAGGTAAAGCTTAGACTTGATGATGGGAAAATAAAGATACTAAGTCAAGTCAGATATGTTCCTGACTTAAAGAGAAACCTTATATCTCTTGGGTCCCTAGACAATCTAGGCATGAATTACAGATCTCAGAATGGAACACTAGAAGTGTTTAGAGAGTCTCAGAAAGTCATGACAGGAAAACTGGAAGGTGGACTCTATGTCCTACAAGGTGAAACTGTTGCGGCTGAATCTCAAGTTGTAACAGTTTCAAAAGAAGCTGAACTATGGCACTTGAGACTTGGACATATGAGCAACAAAGGGTTGCAGATTATGTCTCAAAGAGGTTTGTTAGGGAAGTCTACTCCTTCAGAATTGGAATTCTGTGAAAGCTGTGTGTTGGGAAAAACACATAGGCTAGCATTTCCAAAGGGTAAGCATGTTTCAGAGCACATATTGGACTATATACACTCTGATCTATGGGGTTCATCAAGTCCATGACCAGGGGCGAATCCACGCCCGTCACTCGCGTGACGTTGGCCATCGCATCGCATGCGATCGTGCGCGTCTCCTG